TCAATATATGATGGCCAATAAAGGATTCCAGGACAATTCTTCTTATGGCATTTCTTCGTATCGCAATTCTTCGTCTGCAAATCTTCGTCAGGGCATTTATTCGTATCGCATTACTTTGACTCGCATCAGGGCATATGAAAATCGGCTGGCATTTCTTCTACAACGCAAATATATGCAAGATTAAGCATTGAGGGACAAATAAATGCACCGACGAAGATTTGTAGACGAAGAAATGCGGACGAAAAATTGTGCTACGAAGAAATGTCATGCGAGGATTCGTTCGGGTACCATGACATTTATGTGATTTCAAAGTCAAGGTTCACAGCTGATCTGCTAAATCAAGCCAAGAATCCAAACTATCAAAAAACTATAAATATTTGTTTGTCTGTCACAGAGGTCTCAAGCAATATAAGGTTGACATATGTTGAATCAAAAATCTACTGCCACAACTCACATCTCCTGCCTTAGTTTTCATTGTTGTTTTAACTTGCTTTCAAGAGAAACAGGAGCCAGTATCTGATATCACTTCAGATGATTGTTTCAAGATCTGAGTTTAAAGGTAGTGTGCCACCTTTGAAAGATTTCCCATTTTATTTTTCCTAGGATAAGAAGCTTCTGTTTTTACCTAATATCGCAAAAAAAAAAATCAAAAATGGGCCTGGAATAGTGCCTTTTTCGCCTAAAAGTTTTTCGGTTTTTAGATATGTATAACAAGTGGGCTCACCTGCAAACAGGCGTCGGGCAACAATCGCGAATGCGGCGCACTTGTGACAATAAGCAAAGGTCATTATAGTGTTACGACCATACGACGTACGGGAATGAGTTATCAGCTGTCTAATCGTAGACAACACAATGTCGAGCCTTAAACTGTAAGCCCGTATTGGTATTGTTTCTTTTATTTGGCTGTCGAACATTATTTATGGTTTGAAATATGATTTTATGTAAAATAATTGATATGAAAAAGCCGTCTTATAAGTTATGACCCCATTTCACCACACGCAAGTGGCAGAAATGACAATGATCAGCTGACGCATTTTTCTTGGCCGAAGTCAGAGCGCGCGGCCCGACGCACCACGCGTATTTGGAAATTCCGACCTCGACGAGCATCAGAAGCCACCTAACAGGCGTGTTCGAAACCGCAGGAGATGATGATGAACGGGTTTATCGAAACTTGATTGGATGAGCATATCGGTAATAGCGATTTCAGTGTGTGCATTTATTGTTCATAGTGGTGTGAAATGTGGTTGGGGTACGACCGACAACCCGTCGGGGCGAATTTCGCACTGGGGTACTCAAAATTTGAAGAATTTAAGACGTTTCCATGAGTTTTGAAGGTATGGATAAGTTCTAAAAATCCGGTTCTCCTTATCTGGGCCATTAACTCCATACGGTCCAAGAAAGCTGGCACACTACCTTTAAATGGAAATAAAAGCAAGATCAAGATGAAACAGGGACTATTGCTGTTAACACGCGCAGTGGAAGGGGGGGGGGGCGGATTTCGCCCACCCCTCCTGTTTTTCGCCAATAACTCGCGCCGCAAACATGATATTGATGTGAAATTTTGGCTACCTGTCCAGAATTGAACTGCGGATCTTCTCGTGCAAGAAATGAAAAAATCGGGCCACAACTTTTCTAGTAATAGCGGTGTAAAGTCAAACATCCTGCCGCCGCGGCGGCGCGGCGGCGCGGCTGCCGGCGCTAGCCGTTACGCGCCGCCTGAATTGTAGACTGTGCCGGGGCGGGACGGTTCCGTCTTTACATCGCGCTCCTTACCGCTGATTATATTCGATTCACGTCAAATTTTGTGAGAAGACTAAGAAACGTACAGGCAATCTTATGGTCAAAGAATTTTGAAAATCAGCCGGTAACAACTTGAGTTATGAGTGTGTAAACACAAAAATTGTGATTGCCGCGTTTCCCGCGTCCGCCGATCCCGCTTCAGCCGGTGACATCTTACGCTTAGCAGGCTTCTAACTGCCATATTTATTGTTGGATTAACAAGAAATTCACCATACATACTCACAAATGTATGTTCTTTCGTATAGTGAAAGAAAAAAGAAAATCGGCCGGTAACTTTTTGAGTTATCGGCGTGTAAACGCAAAAAAGTCGCTAATATGGCAGATTTGACCATATTTGACCTCATTTGACCTTGAAGATATTGACCTAGGGTCATGAAATTCACACACAACAGAGTTCCCCTGGGCCCCCACCTACCCTCCAAATTTCGTCTTTCTAGCTCCAGTGGGAGCTGAGATCTTAGGGGGGGGGGCGACATCCGCCCCCCCCTTCCACTGGGCGTAGTACTCGCAACCCTTCCACTGCGCGTGTTAAAGTAGTTTGGCCATGATACAACAAGCACATGAATCATTAGCCAAATCAAATACTGGTTGGTTTGTCAAGATGTTTGTTGTCTATCGTCTGTCGAGCTGCTATGAACACTGAACGCTCTCACTCTTACTTTAAAGAGAGTAGTTTAAGTTGAATGGTAGTGAGCTGTAATTAGACAAAGCAGCTATTCAGTGCTCACATCAAGCCAGGCTAGGAAATGGCATCAACTGTGGTGGGAGGAAGCAGGTTCGGCATCCCTATGTTGTAAACTTCTGTTGTGTCTTGTGTTTGATCAACTGATGTTTTCTGCTCTGTTTTGTGCAGTGATAGTAGCAGGTAACTGCATGCTTGTCAAATTATGTGAATAAACGAATTCATAACATTGCATTTTTCTCTCCATGCAAGGAACAAGTAAGATGTTGTAGAAAATGTAATAGAGGGCTGCATTGCTGATTTTGCACTTTATCAGAGCTTTATTTAGAATTGCTTTCCTGAAAGCTACACACAGGCCACAGCACTGAAATTCACAATGTCATAGCTTTTGGCAGAAAAAAAGAAAAGACTTACCTAGGTAAAATTGGCTGAAAGTATGGCAGAGCAGGTCTTGATGCGTATGCCCATCCGTGTGCTTGCCGAAGCCGAACTGACTGCAACACATTAACTCTGACCCACCATGGTGGCTGGCATATCCTGAACTTTCACCACTCTAAACAAGACAACTTTCAGCCCTCAGCATTGTATTAAAACACTGTACATGACACTCAAAATTTGTTTCAGTGCCATCCACGGACAACATCAGTCGCCATTCACCAGGCCAGTAAAAACAGAATAGATAATAGCTTCAAACCCATGTAGTCAGAGTTACTAGGTCTGCACCTCAAAACAAAATCCAGGTGACATTCACCACACCAGTAAAAAAACAGGTACTTAGGTAACGTAACAGCTTCAAATCTGGTAACATGTTGGTCGGGCTTTACACTACCATATTTACATGGAATAATATGATACCAAACAATAGTGCAACCATTCTGGACATAAAAGTGTATGATAAAATTAATTTAGAATACTTTGGCAGCATGATTTACGAGCACAGGCAGGTGTTACCTACCAGCCTTCTCAATGCTCGTAAAACCAACATTGTAGTTTTGATTTTACCTTACATGATAACACACTTGGCTGCAATGGCACATTTAATTTAATACTGTGAAAAGACCAGTCATAACCACTTCACAAGCACAATTGCACCTCATGCCGACATCCTTTTCCAAAGACAGTCAGCAGCGTCTTTCGTCAAAACTGGAAGATCAATCCCCTTTCAACTGTTAACATCAAAAATATTTTCATGGTGTGATCTCCATATGGAAACCTTGCAGGAAAAGAATTAATGTCAATTGTCAGCTCTTCAAATTTCTTTGGACTTTAACTTGCAGTACCATATCCAGTTTGCTTTGATATTTTGTTTTTTATTCCATGTTGAAGTTGAACACCAAGCTCCAGATATAGCAGGCAGCTTGATCATCTTCGGCCTTGGCATAATATCAGTCCAAGTTCCAGTGGTGGGTATCTTCTAATATTCAAATTAAAATGAAAAGCAATAGGCTTTCTCAGCGCCGACGACGGATTTCACGTTGATAAAAAAGGGAGCTCAAGGTCAGCAAAACTCGGGTTCAAGGAATGGCGGGCGTTGAAATGACTGCTGACGTCATCAAGGAAACCGCTAATGGTTAAGAGATAGGGACTACGCTGGTCCCACCCTGCAAGTAAAGGGAAGAAATTTCTTGAACACCATAAAGCTGCGGGGGTTGCGACCAGGATAAATGGTGGTTTCTGAGCCTGGCCGCAAACTTGGCTATCTCAACTCAAAACTAATGTTAAGGTGGGATGGTCCCTTTAAAACTGAACATGACATTGTGACCTGACCTCAGGTGGCCTGTGCTTGATTTTTATGCACGATGCAAAAGTGATGTACAATCAGATATACCGCTGCTTTCGTGGCACTGCGCGCCGAGGTTTTTCTCAACACATGAAAAAACCGGGAGTCGGAGTGTGGCTAAAACACCTCTACCCATCAAGACGAAGACCGGAAACCCGACCCCCCCCCCCACACTAAAAAATCCGTGGCTACGCCACTGCCTCCTCCCCCTCCTGCAATTTAAGTTAGCCGCTGCGAACACTAATTCGTGCAAGGGGTCATTTTCACTTCTTGACGCCGCAGTACGCTATACCGCCGCGCGGGGGTCCGAGGGACGCTACCTCCCGCCTCGCCGGATGACCCTCGGGCCTGGGCGCCGCCGCGGCGGGCGATGGACGGCGCTACCTCAATTCAATCTCGAGAAAATCAATCCCAAGCACACTGCCAAGTAGTGTACCAAGGCGGTCCAACTTTGTATCCGCCCCTCCTATTGGTCAACGTCACGGACGCCACATGGATGCATTACGTCATTCCCGTCTGCCAACGACCAATCACAGTATGGTACTTGCGTCTTCATGGTCCCTTCAAATCCTGGGGCCGAACGTAACCTGGGCCCCGGTGTAACCTTGGTCCCGGTGTAACCTGGGTACAATGGTACTCTGGTACTTATGAATGTCACCCGGCCGGCTGGCCGGCGGCGGCTCGCTGTGGGGAGTCCGTCCCGGGTCCGGCGGGCCGTCCCGGACCACGCGGCGGTGCCGCGTCTCGCTGTGGGGGTCTGTCCGAGCGGCCGCGTCCCCCTTACCGCCTTCCGGCGGAGAGGGATCAGTTTGTCGAGAGGTTTGGTGCAGTGTGCACGTGAAGTGAACATACCGGACAACTACAGGTTTGCTTTAATTATTTCAAACACCTACTATCATAATATTTTCCAGCCATGACCACACTTCAATCAAGTTGACTATCTCTAAAATACCATCACATTTCCATCCAAACCGCTAGATGATCAGTAATGTAATATTGTGCTGAGGGGCGCGGGGGGGGTATAATACTCCTGTTCGAGCTGCTAAATTTGAGCATTGTCCTCATGGCTAGACCGACATATGTACCAAAGCGGCGCAATACCAGAGGAGTTTAACGACAATTTTTCTTCAAAATGTACGACATTCTACGCTATTTTACTGAAATTTATCAGTTTTACATGTTTTTCAGTCATCTACAACCTCGTTCATACCATATTTACACGTAAAATGAGAAGGAACACAGAAGCACCGACACGAAAAACGGGCCCGTTCCGCACCAAAACATGAATATTTTCATGTCTCCGAAACGGGCTCCGACGGCGACGGGCCCGTCGCAGTCAGCTGTTGCGCCCCGTCATGAGGCGTCGCCGCCCGGTTCCCACTGAGCCCGTCAGGGACGGGCCGTAAACGGGCCCGTCAACGGCGACGGGCCCGTTTCGACGGGTGACGGGCCCAGTGGGAACCGGGCTTAAGTGTGTTTAAATTAATCAAGTCGATTACCTCCCCTGTCTGGCTCTCCCCGCGCGCCCAGTCCGGGGTCAGGTGTTGACGGTGGGACGCGGGCGGGACCCTCCCTCCCCTCCCCTGGTGTACCCTCCCCCCTCCCTCTGACCCTCCCGGCCGCGGCGGGCGGCCACCGGTGCCGTGTCATCTGCCAGTGAACCCTAACGGTCCCGCTGATGGATGAGGGGGAGGGGGGTCACTTCCTGCCGGTCCGACGCGGCGCAGCTCGGCGCAGAAACCGCCGCGCCGGCAGGCTCCGAGACCCGGAAGCGTGGGGGCAGACGCCGGGATTGGACAGGGGACGGCCAGGGTTATGGGCACTGGGCAGGGTACCTACGTGACAGGACCGGACCGTACCGAATGCTGAGGCCAGTCGCGGCGTGGGTTACATCTCATTGATAAGTTGTTTAAGGCTGTTTGCAGTTTGTCTTATATGTCAGTCGCTTTATTTTTTGTCCGACTATCGTGATGGCGACCCACGCGTACGTCAAGTGGCTGGAAGAACCCGTGAAATGGGATGTAGTCCGACTGAAGCATGTGAGAGGAAGGGGTCCTCTGGCTGCTGGCTCCAGAGTTGAGGTGAAGTGGGCTGGAGAATTTCATCCTGCAGTCATAGTGGAGATTGGTAAGTACCTGCGTCGGATACTCTTGATCTATGTGAGTGACCCCCACTGCACGTGCAAAATGCAAAAAGGAGAGGTGCCAAATTTGTTCCCATTTCAATAACTCGGTAATTACTGGGGCGGTTTCGCTGTAACTTTATATACAGGTAGGCACCCACCAGGCAATGCATTCCCATGTGTTGCGGTTAGGGTGCTACTGCACGTGCGCACGTGCAGGGGGCGCTTCCAGATCTCGAGAACGGCTGGGCCGATTGCAATAAAAACTAATGTTAATTAACCTTCCAGGCGGTGGGGGGGGGGGCATTTTTTGCCCCCCCCCCCCTTAGTTTTTTAGATATATCTCGAGAACCGCTGCGCCGATCGTCACCAAACTTTCAGTACCCTCCCGGGAGCAGCTAGCGCACATGGTGACCAAAAATTTTTCCAAAGGCTATGATAGGTTGGCCGCTAATGACGTCAGAGTGACGTCATTTTTGCCATTTTCGACCCAAAAAAGGTTTCGCGGGAAGAGCTGTCAGGCCTACAGCTTTAGAGATACAGAAAAATGTTTCAGACATAAAAGGTGTGGAATGAAAAGGGCTACAAAACTGTTATTTCGGTTTTTCGAATTTTTTTTGGATTTTGACCCCCAAAAATCAAAAATAGATTTTTTGAATATAATAGCCAAAAAATCAAAAAAGTTTTTTGAATTTCGAAAAAACCGGAATATATGTGATAGCCCCTACCGCCTTCTATCTACATACCAAATTTGAGATCGATACTTTTTTTTTGGCCAAGTTATAGCGAAAAAAAACTGTTCAAAATTGATGACGTCAAATTTTCAAACTCAATTTTTAGCAATTCTAGACCTTGTAACGCAAAACAAAGACCACCATTAGACTCCCCGTGACGAGCTGCATCGAATCGATACCCATTTTATGCAAAATATCAACTTTGAAATTTGACCTTTTTTGACCTGACCTTGACCTGACCTCCACCAGAAAGTGACCTAAACCGTACCTGATGGTCTTATAACCAACACCATTGAGTTGGAAATTAAAAACTGGCCATAAAACATGCATCGCATAACCTTAGTAAAGTTGGGCTCATGTGGTGACCCTTGGTGACCTTTGGTGACCAGACCTGTGACCTGACCTGGTATGACCAGTGACCTCTAATAGCAACATATGTACTAGACAACTGACGCCTTATCGCTGATTTTCGACAAAATGCGTTTTACTCGGTGTTATAGCGCTTTCCCTAGAAGCCCCGTGAACGGTGAAACATTTTATCTTTGACCTGACCTGTGACGTCATCGGTGACCCCGAGGTCAATGAAATTTGGTTTCTCTCGACAAATTTGACAGGGCTATCGAACGCCGTTTGAATTTTCCGGATCCGTCCAGTAGTTTCGGAGATACGGGGGGGGGGCAAAAAAGTGCCCCCCCCCCCCCACCGCGCGGAAGGTGGCTGGTAGGCCCACCGCCTGCCGGGTTAAGGTGTAATGGTCACAAAGATATTTCACGGCTCACACCACTTGGTTATTTTTGCAGGGAAGCAAAATGTTCTAGCCAAGAAACAACTGGACCATAAGAGGCGACAGCGAGAGGCCTCACCTCCACAGGACCCTATCAAGAGGAAAAGGCAGCATGATGATGATCAAGCAACCACATCAGGGGTAAGTAAAACTTGCATTGTCAATGATTTCTCTTGCTATTTTTATGGTCAATAACAACCTTTGTTGTCATGAGGAGAACTAGGCTTGCTTCAATTTGTTACCTTAGGTCAGTTCCATTTCCTAACCTCCACATCAAACTCGATGGGGAACGGGAATGGGGAATAGTCAATGGAGCTATATTAAGTCTCATTTTTCGCAAATGCACATCTGATTGCTAATTCCACCTAAAATGAAATCAATCGCAACCAACCTCGACTTCCTAGAAAGCACAAGGTTTGCTGTTAAATTATTGTAAGGTCATATGACAGCGAAAGTTACGAAACGTGTTTTGCTAATAACTCCATAACAGACAAGAGATACCTACAGCGCTCGGGCAGTCTCAATGTGTTCAGCTCATCAAGGTGCATTGAGCAGCATAATTATGTCATTTGCAGACATCAAGAAAGCAGCAACAGAAGCGCCAGAAGAGACTGCAGTCATTGGCCGTCCTGGACGAGGTCGAGGACAGTGCGGAGGTAAGATCAAAGTTGCGATAGTATGCGTGAGGTTGGGGGTTGACATAACCATATATATTATATCATTAATGCTTTTGACCGTCGGTCAATTTTTGTGATGTCTGTGTGTTTCTTTTATGTTTATATTAGATGATTTACTGGCACAAATCTCAATTACTGTATGCATGTATGCGCCAGGTCCTTTGTCCAACATTCAAACATGTTGATGCACATCTGTTCTAGACATTGAAATGTTTGCAGTGCACTTATGTCCAATTGACCTTGTAAATACATGCAACATGGTCATATGTTATGCTAGAAGTGCTTCTGCACCTTGATTTGGATTTCTACAAACTATCTGCTGGTAAACGAGCACTCTTATAATGCTTTCGGTGGACTTTCCTCTCATTAATTTTAACTGCTCGCTAGTTCTTTGCCTATTAACCTTCGCCCGAGAGGGGGGGGGGGCATATGTTACCACCCTGTCGCGTTTTTTGCGTGTAACTAAAAAACCGCCGCGCGTAGCGCCGTGCCCCTTGGGGTAGCTTTTGGTACATCAATTTTGGACAATGTGTGAAATTTTTGACCCCAGGTCATGTCAGGTCAGGTCACCAGGTCAAGTTAACTGACCAAGCCTAAAAAAGTTTGCAATCATGTCCAGCCTGCAGTGTTTGTCAGAAAGGTTTTAAACTTGGTGAATTGCATGATGTTATGGGCGCCTACAATTTGTTTATCTCGGATTTTTTTTTTATATCCGTGACCTAAGGTCAGGTCAGTGGCGTGACCTTTCCATTACAAGTCAATGGAGAAAAATGAAAATGCCTCTAGATCCGTGTGTACGCATAGGAACAGTCCAAATATTTCAGAATCACAATGATTTGGACCACCCGTGATGACCAAGGTGTCATTTTTGCTGATAGCCTCTAGAAAGGTCATCCGAGGTCATTTGAGGCTACAAACAGATTTTTGCCAATAACTCGCTGGTCTCATTGTGTTTGTCTTGCCGAGACGCATCGACTGATATGCAACATGACCTTTTCCGGGCAGGTCATGGCCTTGACCTGAGGTCAAATTTTCAAGTTGACCTTTCAAGGTCAAATTATAGTTCATTCGACGCGTCTTGGCGAGAGGAACACGATTCTGGCAATAGAAATGTCCTGGCTTTTTGTTGTCGAAAGTTATTGTCGAAAAACAATTTTCGTAAAAACAGCTATTTTTCGAGTTTTTGCTCTCTGGAGGCTAAACCCGTGACCTGAGGTAAATTTTGATAATGACCTTTAAAAAAAAAGAGTTCAAGAGCTATCGTTTGCTTTTCGATGCGTTTTTCTAGCTACCATAGTTCCTGAGATAACGGCATGTTTTCTGAAAAATATAATGACCATTGGCAACTTTTGACCTTTGATGACCCTGGTGACCCCAATATTGCTCAAGATGAAAAATGACTATAAGGTCATATGACAGCGAAAGTTACGAAACGTGTTTTGCTAATAACTCCATAACAGACAATACTTTCAAACGTACGCATTGAGGGCTATCGACTGCTTTTTACCGCGTCTTTCTAGCCCTCTTAGTTTTTGAGTTAGAGGTGGGTGGTAACATATGCCCCCCCCCCCCCACTAGGGCGAAGCTGGCTGAGACCGCCACTGGGGCGCGGGTTAATGTTTGTGAGCAAAGCACTACATTTTTACAGGAGTGTGCTGGATGCCAAGAAAAGGAGGAGACGATCGAGGGGCTGCAGCACGATGTGGATAGTTTGCGAAAACAGCTTACCAGGGTGCAGGAGGTCATGGCCAGTGGCACCAGTAAGTTCATGAAGCATGCTTAGCTTAAATCTTATGTGCTGTCCTGTTGAGCAGCCTTCGCAATTACGATGCAATCGCAAATGCGACGCCTGCTGGTTGGCAATGATGGAGTATGCCGGAATTTCGCTATTTTGTCATTTGATTCAGATTCGATTGAGGATTTGGTCACTGAAGCATCCTTAATAAGAATGTACAGCTATCTGATATCTGCTTTCGACGATGCTTCCAGAAATCGATGAAGTTGTGCGGCGCCTGGAGGACGCAGTCATCTGGCTGGAGGAAAACAGGACCTTTTTGGCGACCAGGGTTAGTTTGCCGGAGGAGGGATTGAGCAATTACAAAGTCTTTACTAAATAAAAGCCCTAACTACTAGCCCTTAGATTTCATAGCCCCATGGGATCAGCTGGGAGCATTATAAGAGTGCCCCATGAGATCAGCTGGGAAGGTTCCGTACCATTTTTTTGTGATTATTCCTGTGCGATGAGGGGCTAAAAAAAACTTTTTACATACAAGTTTAAGGTTGGTAGCATTGTGTTACCTGTATCGGATAAATGTTATAGTTTCTTTACTATTCTTTGTAAATCGCTGAGGCACTACGAGAAGCCAGCCTTCAAATAAAGGTGTCTGCTCACGTGTATGGGGTGTAGCTGAATGCAAAGGAAGACCAACAAGATTCAGTGGCATTTTTGCATGACATCTTAATATGCAAATGATTATCCTTCAGCAGGCGGATTCTTCTGATGTGTGCAGAAGCGCAGTGGTGACGCCAGCTCAGGACGCAGCGGCGTCGAGCTCGGTCCCGTCCACCCGCCCGGACCAACCTTTGCGGCGCGATGGCCCCGAAATGGTAACGCATTTCTATCTGTTTAAGACGAACTTTGTGTTGTTTGTTTAAAAGGTGGAAATATTATTCGTATACAGAGTGTCATACCATCACTAAATTACATATACTCTGAACGACCATTGTTTACAATAAGACTAATTGCCAGCTGGTTATAGCCAGTGCCAGCTATTTCTGAGTGAACTTACATTTTACGCAGGTGTCTATTGGACCAGCGACTAAAGTGCCCGCCGCCACTATGAACAAGATCACGTGGAGCAACCCAAAAAAAGCGGTCCGGGAGCTTCTGATGGTGGTTTTTACCACACCGGTGCTTCGGGCGTCTTCGATGACGGGCCGTCCGAGTAACGGAAACAAATACCGGCAGACAGGTCTTGATGTTAGACCGGCACTGGACCAGGATAAGCTGCACGACCTTATCGGTGAGTAATAAGTATTGTCCCCGCACTATTTGCCAGTCTCAGTGATGATGGTATCTCATTCCCAGCCTTCACATTTCTTAGTCGTAGCGCCGACCGCCCGAAGACGCGGTGGAAGGTGATCCTTAAAGAAGTAAATAATCCCATACACTTGCCATTTTTTGTAATGTAATAGCATTGCATTGAACCTCACCACAGAACTTGATTCCAAAGCTATGAACAAGCGATTCTTATACAAATATGTTCTTTCCCTAGACTTTCTGGAAACGAATACGGGCCTCACGAGGAGCGAAGTGAGGCGCACTATCGCCGCGAAAATAAATGATCTCAACAAGGCGAAGCGTTCGGTCGACGCACGCGAGGCTGCAGCCTAAAATGTGCAACGTGCAACTAGAACCTGGAAGTGTACTGGCTGTGAGTGCACAGAACATTTTGTTAACCCACGAGCCGCTGGGGGGGGGGGCATAAAGTTGCCCCCCCCTTTACGTTTTGTGAAATATCTCCGAAACCTGATGAGCTACGAACGTGAAACTTGGCATAGCTTCAAATGAATACCTAGGCAATGTTTGAGGAAAGTTTGGTGCTTGTAGCACCTAAGATGACGTCACAGTGACGTCATAAAGTTTTGTCGTTTTCCGATATGGACCGTTTCTGATGACGCTGAGCATGAAACTCAACTGTAAATGAACTAGACAGCACCTGCTGTCATCCTAAAACATCTAACTACACTTCCATCTAGTTCCTGACCAATAATCGGCCCTTTATATTCGGTCCCATATATCTGATGTATCGTGAGGAATATGAGAGCCGCAAATCTATAATTTCACTTATGACGTCACTGTGACGTCATTTCAAATGGGATCGACACCAAATTTGGACACAACCTCGGCTAGGTATTCAGGAAGATGTGTGCAAAGTTTCGCTTCTCTATCTCTTCGCGTTGCGACGATATCGTCGCAGAAGTAAAAGGGGTGGGGGGGGGGCAACTATATGCCCCCCCCCCCCAGCGGCCGGCGGGTGGCGCGGAGGCCCAGCGGCCGCCGGGTTAATACAAGGATATGCCAGACATTTGTCTTTGTATCGTTCATGATTTTCTGCGGCGTCTTAGCAAGTCCCCTGCAAGAATAATGCAGGCACCCAGAAGTATTCTGTGCAGGCCCCCTGCAAGATTCTGTGCTGGCCCCTGCAGGATTTTGTACAGGCCACCTGCAGGATTCTGTGCAGGTTCCCTACAAGATTCTGTGCAGGCCCCTGCAGGATTCTGTGCAGGCCCCCTGCATGATTCTGTGCAGGTTCCCTGCAGGACTCTGTGCAGGTCCGCTGCAGGATTCTGTGCAGGATCCTGGTAACAACTTTTAACACAAGCCTGCAGGAATTGTCCTACAGGACAACCATGCAGGATATTTTCACTAGGTTACGTTCCCAAGCAGGAAAATTTGGAGCAAAGGTCTCAATGTGTTCTTTCTTATAGGTTACTGATTGCAGTGTAGTTAACAGCCCGTCTAGGCACCTGATTATCTTGATTCGTTTAGCAGAGACAGATGTTAATGTTGAGCACACTTTCGGCGTGAAAACCATTTGGCCCACCAGACAAAAGGGTGGCTTTTAGGTGGCATTTTGATTCGCGCCGCCTGAGCCGTATCGGTTTGCCCGGGCGCTGGTGAGCGGCCGCCTGCGCGGTGAAATTAATCGGTTGCATAAACGGGACGTATATTCAAATACATACTTGACAGGTCACGCATTGTACACAGTGCAGTTAAAAAAAAAAAAAAAACGCTCCCATCTCCATTCCCCTATTTGCTCCCTTTGCCCCCACGAGACAGGTATCTCGCTAGTTCAGGGTCAGAAATTGGGTCACGGTCCAGGCCCTGGGCAATAAACTGTGCCCGCATTTCCTGATAGAGCTCGCGATACTTTTTCAGAAGGTCTGTCGACCTAGGAAGCTGCTCCGTCTCTATCATCAGAGAAGGGGTTTCGGTATCTGTTAGGATCGTGACGAGGTCGTTCACAGCAATATCGGAGCCTTTGTCGTCATGCGTATCGAGTAAGCATTCGTGGTCGTTCCTGTTTCTCGATTCACACGATTTTTCACTGCCCCCAGCTTGTCAGTTGGTGTCGTCCTTGTCGTTGGGCTCGATGCTGCTTCCAGTTGTGTGGGCTGCTCCCATGAGGATTGACGTGGCGTTACCACGGAGCACAGCAAGCGACACTCGCTGAAAGAGGTACTCTGTAGCCCTCCTGTCGCCGCTTTCACGTGCTATTCGCCGACCTACGTCCTTCAAGAACTGGACAGTGGACTGTCCCAGTGAGCCACTCGTTTCGACGGCGATGGGCTGGAACTTGAAACGCCTTTCAAGCGCTCCATAGCGGCGCCTCTTCCGGCTTTCGGCGGCTTCTGCTGCAGCTCCTGCATGGACCGCCGATTTACCGATGATGTAGCTGGCGTATGTATCGACGCAGGTGCTGTCCCATATAAGGCACTTGCCTTCGGTGAAGGGGAAGGTGGTCATCCCATCCGGGCGCCGGCCGTCGCCGCGATCAAGGCCTGTTGGTTCCAGCACTGATGGCATGCCTGCGCTGTGCAGGGCGCGTGTTAACCCTCGCCCGTAAACGGTGTTTTGCCACCTTCGCCCATGCAGGGGGGGGGGGGGTTGGTGCGACCCCCCTGGCGTTTGAAAACGGAGCGTCGTAGAGCTTAGCGGAAAAGACCAACGGATTGCTCTCAACGAGATCTCGCGATTGGTGGTATATTTTTGGTCCTAGGTCAACATTTGACCTACTTGTGACCGGTCAAAGGTCAAATTTTCGGAAAAATCTAGCTTTTTCAGATTTCCGCGCCGATTGCGGCAAAACGGTAAGAGATATCGACTAGAAACCTACACTATCGTGATCCTTGATCAATTCTCTATCGTTTGGTGTGTATTTCGATGTCATAACTCTAAAAATGATGCGTTGGGAGCATCGGAAGTCTGCAAGGTCATTTGTGCATTGGGTCACGTCAGGCATGTGACGTCACTGACCTGACCCTGACCCAAAATGAACTACAAGAAACAACCGACGATGCCTGAAATGGATAGCAAATTCGAATTCAGGGCATCAAAATACCCCGAAAAGGCATACAAGTGCAAGAAGTCATTACAGGTCAACCGAGGTCACTGACCTGACCTTGACCTTAAGTAACCTTGAAAAGGTCAACGGACATTGTGCCAATGTCAAATCAGCCAGTTATGATTCTAAAACAATCCATCAGTGTGTCAGGTCAGTCGGCATTTATACCAATGTGAAGCAATCTCCAATTTAGCGTAAATCTGGCCGGAGGTTGTTCCCTTTATGACGTCATAACTCCGTGACCTGACATGACCTTGACAAAAAAAATACCAAAAGTTGCGCAAAGGATGCCCCATAGGGTACTGAAAATTTGAGCAGGCTATCTGAAACGGTTCGGCGTGTAGCTAAGAAAAACCTCAGGGGGGGGGGGGTTGCACCAACCCCAACCCCCCCCCCCCTACATGGGCGAGGGTTAATGACATCATTCAGCGCGGAGTGTCGCGGCAGACGGCCCGCACTCAGTTGGCAAGACAGCGAGTGCAGCCCCAGGGTGTCGACGGTGGATCCGCACCGGCAGTGGTGAGGAGCACATACCGGAGCGCCGACTCGAAGAGAACAGCTACTCTGAGAGTTTCATGGTCGAGAAGTGTTCCGAGGCTCGGCACTGGCAGTGCGTTCAGCCATGCACCGGAGTGCGGCTGCGCTGCTGCGTGAAGTCGGGCACGGTGTCTGTCATCGGGACTAGTGATGTCAATTTCAGAAATTTTGGAAACCAATACCAAACCGATACCGACCAAAACCACTGAGAGTATACCAAAACCGAACCGATTTGCAGAAATAGGGTGAAATACCGACTAGGTACCGAATTCAGGGAATCATCAAACAAATGCTTCAAACTTTTTCAAAACAAATGATAAGCATTGAAAGGTAATACTTTTAAATAAGGCAAGCAAAACAAGTCAGGAAATCTCTAAATTATTTGCACTGCAAAAAATAACTGTATTGTGTAACTATGAACAAAAATTCAGGTCAGTAACTTAACTGGGATGTGGATTCAAGTCATCTGCATGAGGTGATATAGGACAAGAACTTGAACCCTGAATCTCATCCATGCCTGAACCATCAAACGTCCTTTCAAGTTTCAATTCAAGTCACTTAATTCAGGTCCAGTCAAGGCAGGGTTACGTGTGTTATCATGATCCAAAAATGGTAACCAAATAACAATGATGGGCTGGGCTATACCATTAATGTAAACAAAATCCATGATACCTACAGTTCAACTCAAGTAGCGATGGCAATGGTGACGATAGTGACGCAGCCAATTTTTCATCATAAACAAATGTTTAACACAACAAATCTTGATAAATAATTACTTACGAGGCACACTGATAGATAGCAGACACCACTGTAATGATATCGTGATGAAAGCTAAGTAAAATGTCCATAATTTTACAGAATCATTGACACGTGTCACGTGGCATCCCTTTTGCCTTCCACAATGGCAGCCTTGCAGGCGGCGGCCATTTGCATTTAGGCACGAAACGCACGGAACTGCATAAAACAAAGTTTTTTTCTTTTTTGCTTAAGAACACTTAAGTTATTAATATGATGTTCATATTTTGGCATCTTAAAATTAATTTAAGAAAGATTGTAGGCTGTTATTGATAAAAAATGAAGAACCAGAAAAACAAATTTGCTCAATCATTTTTAATTAGCTATTGAGGTACATCGGGTTTTGGCGCAGCTGCGACATTATCAAGTTCTTAGTTGTGTTCAGTTTTTAAACTGCTATTTGCGAATCAAGCCAAGACCCAATTATATTTTAGGAATGCTTTTGATTACATTGCTAGCGATTTCTATCTGTTGAGGAGAGCAGGAAAGAGAACACTAATTAAAGAAAATAAATTTTCCACAGGATCTTTTTGCAGTTGAGCGAAGTTGAGAATTTGTGGGGTGATGATAAAGTGATAAATGCTGCCTTCAATATTAGATGATAATGGTGAAGCTAGTGCTATAAAAACAGGGTTTTGGCTTTTGGATAATGTAACTGCATTGCAGTGAAATGGAGAGCAAGACAAGGTCAAGATCAATCACAGACTCATCAAAACAAAGTCAAATTTGTTAGTAATGAATGCTTGGGAAATTTTGAGTAAGGTAGTTGAAGTATGTTTTCCAGTATACAGTGAGTTAAACATTGATACATGTTTATGTCTTGCACATTAGTTTTTTTTGTAAGATGATTATCCTCATGGTATTGGAATTTGCTAGCACTGATAACTTGCCATTTAACATTGGTAGACTGATGTGTTTGATGTTACAGTTAACGTGTTTGCCCATTTCTTATGACATCACATGCATTTGGGAGAAATGTGTCATGATTGTCCTTTTTCTTCATCCAATGTCATTTAGCAAATCAAATTTGAGTTCAGAAGGTTTATAAAAAATGTTTTCAATTTTTTTATGACAGTAGTTGACTTTAATAATACCGACAAAATACCAAATGCT